AGTCTAACTCGGCTTAACACTAGACAGCAAGCTGATTTTCAAGGAGCACGATAAAACGAAAACCAAGTGTAACATCCTGATAAGATCACTGTATCCACTCATCAATAGGAGGTCTACCCTGTCCCTTAAAAATAAGCTTGCTGTCTACAAACAAACCATCCTTCCCGTAATCGAATACGGTATGACAATCTGGAAGATTTGCGCCAAATTACATCACCTCAAACTCCAAAAAATCCTGAATAAGATCCTTAGGATGATCAAAAACAGTCCCCGCGAACTAGAAATTCTGAGATCCACATCCTGGCTGGAATTTAGACATGAGAAGAACGAAGAGTTTTTATCCTGGAAAAGTTCAGAGACACCTGTATGAGATTTTTTTTTTAAAGCTATATTAAAGAGATTTTTAGCCTTAGGCTAGTTTATCTCTAAAAAACCTGTATGAGATCAACTCATCAGCTCATACGTGATCTAGCACGTTAGGCTAAGTTATACTCGTAGTTAGGTAGGTTATCACTTTTTCAATTCAAACATAACACACTCCAAGGGGTATTCTGTTGACTAGTAGAAAAACGTGAATACGTAAATTAGAATAACGAATTCAACAAATATGAAGAGCGTCATAGCGAAGACAACAAATCAAGAAGACTGGCAACTCTTCCATTTTCTCTTACGAACGCTATGAGACAGGTACAATCGCGTCATCTGCCGCTCAAAGGTAAATGCTTCGAACGAATTTGATAGCATCCTCAGAAGAAAGGTTTGTGTATTTGCTCATTTTTCTATGTACTGCTTCCACCTTCACTCAAGCGCAGCGCTATTTTATCTGTCGCTTGGATTCTGGCAAAGTTGCCAGTCTTCTTGATATGGTGTCTTCGCTCATAGGCTAATCAATTATAATGTTAAAACAATGTTAAATCATAATTATCAGAAATAAACGTAATTTTACTACTATTAAGTTTGACTGCAGTCATCGTTTGGCTGCCGAGTGATAAACAGAGGTGTTCGTTGCGTTGCACACTGAAAACGAAACTAACTCAGAGAGTGAATAACTTCTACTCCGTTGTGAGTCACTTTTACTCATTCGTATGATTTTTTTTTTCTTAAAGCGTAGGTTATTCAATGCATGAGTAACCTACGATTTAAACAAAATTCTCCACACGAATCAGTAAAAGAGACTCATTCTCTGAGCAATATTCGTTTTCAATGTATTTAGCTTGCCATCCCAAGTAACATTGCAAGCTATATAGAGGTTTTATAGCATTCTACAAGTCTTATTGATGGTCTACGTAACCCTAATAAAACCAAAATTTTTACTTGGGATCTCGGCTAGAAATTGGATATTGGATAGTCAAGCTCAATGTACAATTTGCATCAAATTCCATGTTTTAGCTTGACAGCACGGCCAGAAAGCAGGTTTCTGTATTCAGTGAAGTTATTAGGATGGACAATACCTATCGCATGAATTGCCTCTTAGCTCAGAATTCACTCACCACTCAACAGCGCTAGTAGCATTTGATTCAAAAAGTTTGCTTAAGCAGTCTACATTCACTGAAAACGAATCTTAATCAGAGGGTGAGTCACTTTTACGTAGGTTACTCATGCGCTGAGTGACCAACGCTTTTAGAATTGTAGCCTTACGAATGAGCAAATGTTACTCACTCTCTGAGTTAGTTTCGTTTTCTGTGTTTCGACTAGATAGGAGATTGCTATCCAGTGATGTTATTCATATGGATAAGACCTATTGTATACTGCACACAGGGTGACCAGTGACTCGGGAAATCGAAAAAAAGCCACAAATTCTAAATCACCGTGAGAAGTCCGTGAATTTCGATGATGAATTGGGAAAAATATACTTCGTCCTCTCTTTGGAAAATAATAATCTTCCAAACCTACTAGATTTTCCGGATTCAATCACTTTAAAGAACTTATTCGATAGTTTTGATGAAAATTCCAATGGAATTTAGAGGAAATTTTAGAATGAATTCTAGAGATAATAAGGTATGTAAGATACAAATTCCAATGGAGTTTTTGGAAGTATTTTTTATAGAGTTTGGACTATAACGCCAAGTCAACGTAGAATTATTAGGTGGTTTTGTGTGAAATTACATGTTGATTGTAAAGAGGCTTAATTTTAATGAATATTATACATAAATTCTGAGAGGAATGTAAATAGAGTTCTTATGAGAACTTCAAAGAAATTCCGAGAGTACTGAAGTCTTAGGGAATTAGAAAGATAATTTCAAGTGAATTCTAATGAAAGTTCCAAGGGACATCCGTAAAAATATAAAGGGTTTCGAATTTTCAATTAAATTTCTAAACCATTTATTTTGTTATATAATAATCTCGTAGTTCTACATCCATAATGTGTCGTGCTTTGGACATAACACTCATTTTTTTTCAGCTCCGACCAGGGCTGGTAAATGTCATTTTCAATGAAAGATCTCAAGCGATATTTAAAGAGATACGTGTGTCACTATCATTGGAGGAGTAAACGATGATTGAGATTTTCTTAAAAATCTCATCGAATTTTTTCATCACGACAGAGAGTGTTGTGATCATCGTAATTGATAGCGCATTTAATGCTATTAAAGTTGCTTGTACCGAGGAAATCTTAATAATATATTCGCTCTATCGATTCCATACGGTTTTTGCTTAAATTCATCTAAATCAGTTAGAAATGTTGATGTCAAAACCGCATAAGAATTATTCTCATGAGTGCTTGATCATTGAAAAATGACAAGAAAGCTAATGATCTCGTGATAGTGAGAGGACCAAGGGGTGTTCAACTCTGCACATCCCAATCTGTGCCGAGTACTTTAACTGAGCCGAAAGCTAGGTCAAGCGTTGTGCCGAACGTGCCAAAGTGTGGCAATCAAGCTATCACTCTCAGTAACCCATGAGTTTGGCAACCCTGCACTTATGACTTTTGAGATTGTGTGTTTACTTTTTCAAGTCATGGATGGAAAAAAAGTCGTGAAACTTAATCTCAAGATAATATTCAACGAGCTGGTTGCCGGTCATCCGCTTCAAGGAAGTGGCACTCGAAGATTAACCTCTCCGCAAGAAGGAGAAGGGTGACTGATGGCAGAAGCTGCCCATTCAGGAGAAGAAAGTTCTCTGCCGTGTGTCATTCTGGCAGACGTTTTTGGAAGCCAAGTACCCCACGGCAAGTGGAAGATGAATCTTTTTTGCAATATCATCATGCTACATTCTGAAAATTAGGTATTACTCGACCTAAAATGTCCACCGGCGGTAGTAGTAGCAGCAATAGACCTACCGTAGATTCCCAGTGTCAGCAGTCGTCGTTAGGTACCTACTAAATTCGACTGACTCGATACTAGTTGCATTCGTTTGATGACTACCTTGTTGTTCCTTCATATTTTCTATTCTTGGTCATGCCGGAATCGCATATAAATCTCCCTGAAACTGCTGCCGGTTCCGATTGCATTCATTAAGATCGCGATGGGCTCTGTTACCTCCGGTGTGGTTACCTTCACAATTCTGTTAGCAGGATAATGCGATTGCATTAAATTCACACAAGATAAACCCAACATAAGTCATGCGCATCGCTAATCCGTTACCTGAGTGGCGCCAATTTGCATTTCAGAATTCCCTATTGCACCAAACACAGCAGGCCGGCATTTCTCCTAGTTGGAAGGAACATCTGCCGTCTGCTCCAGGCCTGCTTTCTCCAATCATTTAACACCTCAACATTTTTCCAAAAACTTGGACCGCACCGGAAAGCACCGCAACAAATGAAAGGTGCGAAATGTCAATAAACAGTCTAATCGCATAATCATAAACACATTCCCTGCCTTTGCCTCTATGAGAGAAAATGGGAAATTTCCTCCTACGCGCCTTCTCTCCTTCCTTCATGCAGTGCAGCTCGGCATGGCCCTGGCGCACTGTTGTTAAGTCCGGGTAGTAAAAATAAATAAGAATCCGTCGTGTAGGAATTCCCTTTTCTTGGTTATGTTGTTTCCCCTCTATTGTCTCTGGATCTTCTAGGGGTTCTACTTGCATCCCCGCCCGGGGTAGTGGCGTTTCGGTTCCGGAAAGATTACACGAATCGCCGAAGGATGTAGGGATGGGATGGTGATAATTTTACGAGAGATTTTGCTCGGTTTAATTTATGCAAGGAGTTTCCGAGTGTCGAAATTTCCAAAAGGCAAAAAATTCCCAACCTTTTTCGACAAAATTTCCGGAAATTGATTCCCAAAGGGAGGTCGTAAAAGTGTACGCATCTTTGCATGCTACGTTTCTGTAGTTGCCATGACAACGCTGGGAGACTACCAAACGCCGGCTGATGGAAGTCGATTTCCCATGACAGGCTCAGAATAAGCGATAAAAACGACAGAAACGAGTGCGACAAACATATGTTCGTCTCTTGTTGCTTGTTTATGCAAATTCTTAAGAGTCGTAAAGCACTGTGCTGCCGTTGATGCGCTCCTCGATGTCATTGGGTTCTAAAATCGAAGCAATTTCAAATTTAACCGATTTGAAAAACTTTGAACCCATCCCAAAAACCAATTCCGCACCATTGCCAGTGCAATAAAACGACAATGCATCTCTGGTGCCTGGTGCAGAAAGAAGGATCGACAACCACGATCATAATTTATTCCAACATTCATTTCACTCATCGTACCAGCTCATTAGGAGCGATCCAAACGGTTGCGAGCGTGAATGAAATGGAAATGTGCGTCCGTCCCCTCCCACCCAACACTGCATCCGTTCAATCAAGGGTTTTCCTTTGCACACGATCTTCGGCCGCTCGTGAGCGAGATGGCAATAACGATTTTCCCTCCAGTAGTTAGTGCTTGGCGTTCGTCGTCTCTGTCGGTGATCGTTGTTTTCCCATCCTCGATCGGACGGTGTCTTCTCGCTTTCGCATCTAGAAACGGTAAGCTTTTCAGTAAATCAAAAAGAAGAGACAAACATTTTCAAATTTCGCTCTAGTAATCCCAGTAGACAGAGGACCCACCGTAGTTAGTTCTGCAACGCTTACTTGGATGACTGGACGCAAAGCAAGTGACGCGCGCGCGTGTGTGAACTGTTTCCGAGTGATGTGCACCTTAGTCCGAAGAAGATCAAGCCAAATCTGTGCGTAATTAGCAGTGAAGTTTATACCCACCATATTCCGATCAATTAGCAGCTAATCGATGGTGAAGTTAAAGTGCAATTTTTGAATTTTGTGTGTAAAATGTCGACGGTGTGTCCCAACTCACCCAAGTTGATTCTAGATATCAGCAACAATCAGTTCGATAGTCCTCAGCATCCGACGAGTTCTAGTGCCAACATTGAATATTCCCAGAAAATGATCAAAGTGGAGTCCTATGAAAACCTAGACAGTGCCAGTATGAATCACCACCACGTGGGACATCAGCAGTCCCATCATACGATACACTCCGGACCGGACTTTACCACCTTGATGCCTCCTCAATCCTCGACCCCGTCTTCTACCATCTACGTCTATCAGTCCCCCTCCATTGTGACGACGCACGTCGTTCCGGTGATTGACTCCCTAAACGTCCCTCGTGGTGACATTATGGCGCCTGCCATGATCAACGGGTCCATAGCCTGCAAAAAACGGAAACTTGACGCCGACTACGATTACGAGTTCGATCAATCATCACTCAGCCCTACGGCTGACGGCAAACGTCTCCGTTACGATGGTAACGGCTATGGCTACGCTCCCACGGACTACCACCCCTCAAACAACTACGCCGCTCTTCCCGAATTCACCAACATGGAAGCAGACCACCCGTCCTCCAGAATGATGCATACCGTCCCCATATCCTACTCCGATCCTACTCACTACGGTATCTACTACCAAAACGACACCCCCTGCAGCGTAGAGAACGACAACTCCTCCATTTCGGTAACTTCCTCGCCGAATAAACCAGAAGACGCCATCTACCCCCAGCACCATCACCTCCACCATCCGAACCCTCCATCCTCCTCCTGTATGATAAGCAGCACGGTTCACACCGCCGTCCCAACCCCCGGCAGCAACTCATCTCCGTCGTCCTGCGTTACAACGAGTACAACTTCCTCCACCTCCTCGTCAAACCCGGAAGTAACTCCAAGTGACACGAGACCAGCACATGCCGCCAAATCAGGCAGGAAATCCCGCAACAACAGGGTCCGCAAGCGGCACGTACGGGAATCGATTAGCTTCGAGGAGCTCCAGACCCAGCGGGTCATGGCCAACGTGCGGGAACGGCAGCGGACGCAGAGCTTGAACGAAGCTTTCGCGTCGCTGAGGAAAATCATTCCAACCCTGCCGAGCGATAAGCTGAGCAAGATCCAAACGCTGAAGTTGGCTTCCAGGTGAGTTGCGTGCACTGATATGGGAAATGCATATGGGATACCATACAGAGCACTCAATTAAGCAATGCAACAAAATGTCCGAAATTCTAGCTGCTGAATGGCTCAATATTCAAAAGTTGGTGCAATTCAAAACTATGTTTTTTTAGTACCTGAATGTGTTTTGCACACAAATAACTACATCTCAAATCTGTACTAGCAAATGCTTTTCTAATGTACGAATTAAGTTTTGAAATTCCATGCTTGATTTTTTTAAAATCAAAATTAGATCTAAAAAAAGCACAAATTATCAATTCTGGGGTGAAGTTGTTCATGCAGGTTTTTATGCAAGGCAATATTCAGAAGTTAGCATTTACACTTGATTTGTGTTTGCTGAAGAAAAATCTGGTGTTAAAATTTCAGCAAAAGTTGTAGTTTACGAAAAAAAAAAAACTGCAAATTGTGTTGCATAATAGTTCAAATTACTCCCAAATGTAGGCAATTAACATCATAATGAAGTAAAGAAATAACCCAATTTCTTTGGGTTGGAATGCTTTGAAACAGCAATAAAAGGTTATCTTCCATTTAATTCAATTTAATTTATTTTTGTATCCATGACATGTGGGATTGACACTGATGAACACTGCACATTGTAGTCAAAATACAAATTAATTAAGTGGATTTAAATGGAAGATAACCTTTTTTTGCTGTTTCAATTAACCTATTGTTTTTACATAAAATCATGTTTATGATACGAAATCGTTCATTTTAATAAAATCTGATTTCGAATTCGGATTCAGCGACCAAAAATTATGTAAGATATATTTTATTTACATTTAAAGTGCCAGAATGCATCGTTTGTTAGGGGTAACGTTTCAAAAGTACTTTTTTAAACTACTTAATGAAATACTAAACAAATTATCTTATAAAAACATCATGAAAAAGGATAAATAAAAATTTAACGGTGTACTGATCAACTTCACTTAGTTTTACGGTACCGTAAAACGTGGTGAAGTGCAGCATTGAGTAAAAACAAATGAATTTTTGACCAAATTTTGTGTGTGTAAAGCTATGATTGAACTTCTTTGATCATTAAAGAGTTTTATACCACGTTCAGACTAAAGAGTTATAACTTGCTATAATACAAGAAATGTGTCATCAAGATAGGCTTATAACATGTACATAAACAATAATTTTGAATATTTTTTTCAGGCAGACGATGTGTTGTACTGTTCTAAATGCAATACTTTATATAGTAGGTGACAAGAACAACATATGAAAAGAGCATACAAGCTTTTTGTAAACAAAACTTGTTATGACCTTTTCTCGCCACCCATATGTCATCAACGCAAACCATCAACATCACCAGTAAGGGGAAGCTTTCTCCTTCCCGATGATGTTGTTGGTTTGAGTGGGCGACTCTAGGTTGGCGAGAAAAGGGCCTGCAAAGGTTTGTTTACAAAAAGCTTTTTCACATGTGGCTCTTGATATGTATACAGTTTTTGACTGTTCCTCAACCCAGTCCGCATCGTGCTCTCTTGCCGTGCGGATCTATTTGCTTTTAGCAGAAGGAAGTGTTACTACTACCTAAAGCTACAACAAATTTAAACAGCACTTTTCAGTGCTCAACCTGTAAAATTTCTACCTTGTTCAACTCTTATTCCTCTTCGATCCTTGTTCGGACCCTACCCGAGGTAATCCTTCTTGAATATCGATTTGAAAAATTCCTCTTCGATCCTTCAGATTCTTATAGAAATCTGCTTGGAAGTCGATTTGGATAAAAAATTTACTGCCGCCATGGCGCCTAAACGCAAAAGAAAGGGGACTCTTGATCCCCCTTCTGATGAAATTAATTTAAGTAATCAATTTGATTTGCTCACGGATGATGAGAATGATCCATCATCCAAGAAAAATTCTAGTAAACTTTCCCGGCTTAATGCCAAGAAGGAAAAGATTCCCCCTATTGTGATAACCACTTCCGATTTCCATGCTCTTCGCATGGAACTTTTGAATTTCGTGAAAGTTAAGTTTTCACTACAAATTGGACGTCGGGGTGAATGCCGTGTATTGGCTGAAACCTTGGATGGATTTAAATGTCTTCTCAAGTATCTTACTGAGAAGAAGCACAAATTTTTTACTTACGACACCAAAACTGAACGTGTGTTCAAGGTTGTCATGAAAGGACTGCCCAGTGGTGAATCCCTGGATCAGATCAAAGATGAACTGGCAAAATTACTTGGAGTTGTGCCACTCCAAGTAATCAAAATGAAAATGAAATCCCGTCCTGGCGATTCGCGCAACGGGATTTCTAATGATTTTTATTTAGTTCACTTCAAGTCTAGTGAACTAAACAACCTTAAGGCCTTGGAAAAAGCTAGCCTTATGCTCCATGTCCGAGTGAAGTGGGAACACTTCAGGAAGACTGGAGGAAATTTCCAAAACCTCACTCAGTGTCGTAAGTGCCAGGGATGGGGTCACGGAACTAAAAATTGCTACATGCCAGCTAAATGCATGAATTGTGGTGATTCCTCTCACGCAAAGGACGACTGTCCTGTGAAGGAAGATCCTAAGAAATTTAAATGTTCAAATTGTGGGAATGTAAGACTCGCAAAGCGATCCTACAATCTCGTTCTAACCGACAGGTAGGAAACGCTCCACGTTTCCGACCAGGTACAAATTCCTCTGCTGTTAACAACGGTCAGCGAGGAACAAATTCTATATTCGTACCCGTAGGTACAAATATCAACCCTGCTTCAAATTTTTCATCTGTACCTACTCCCCTCGCTGCTAACAATGTTCAGCGAGTTAATGGAGCTACCTATGCTGCTATTGCAGCGGGTAGAAATCAAAATATTAACCAACGTTCTAACGGAAATTTTGACAATTTTGACTTAGGAAGCATTACTGCCCCTAAAATGGATTTTTTTTACAGAATTCATTAATTGACATGATTTCTGATATGCTTAACTCTAACTCCATGTTTGATGCTATTCAAACTGGGGTAAAATTTGCAAATAATATTGTCATGACTTTAAAATTCAGTAATGGATTTTAAAGCATTAAACATTTTAAATTGGAATGCTCGATCTCTTAAAGATAATGAAGACGAGCTATTTAACTTTTTGAGAGTTCATAAAGTGCATATTGCCGTTATAACTGAAACGTTTCTTAAACCTGACCATAAGGTTAAGAAGGACGCAAATTATTTGATTTATAGAAATGATCGTCTTGATGGACCCTGTGGTGACGTTGCCATCATTGTTCATAGACGAATCAATTATACAATTATTTCTTCATTTGAAACCAAAGTTTTTGAAACTTTGGGAGTTTCTGTTGAAACAAAATTTGGACAACTTACGTTTATAGCTGCCTATTTGCCATTCCAATGCGTAGGTTAGCAAAAGAATTTTCTCAAGGGTGACCTTCAGAAACTTACCCGTCATAGGTCTAAATTCTTCATTATTGGTGATTTTAATGCAAAACACCGCTCATGGAATAATGCTCAAAGCAATTCCAATGGTAATATTCTGTTTGATTGTTCGGCAGGTTATTACACTATTTCTTTATCCAAACAGCCCAACATGCTTTTCTTCTGCAAGAAATCCCTCCACTATTGATTTGGTCTTAACTGATTCATGTCAACTTTGTAGCCAATTGGTTACCCATGTGACTTCGGTTCTGATCACCTTCCAGTAACTTTTGAAATATCCCAAGAAATAATTTCTAATCCCAACAGCTCTACTTTCAATTACCGTAGCTGATTGGGAGCAATATCGAACATTTATGGAATATAACTTCGACCCAAACATTCCTTTGCAAACCAAAGATGAAATTAATTATGCTCTTGAGTCTCTGATTACTTCTATAGTTGAAGCAAGAGCTGCCTCAGTACCACAATACGAGGTTAAATTCGATTCAATTATAATAGACGACGATCTTCAGCTCTTGATCCGTCTTAAAAATGTCCGTAGGAGACAATATCAAAGAACACGCGATCCTGTCATGAAAGTTATCTGGCGGGATTTGCAAAAACAAATTAAAAAGCGATTCTCTGCCCTGAGGAACAAAACTTTTGAAAGTAATGTTTCTAAATTAGACCCGAGTTCCAAACCCTTTTGGAAACTCACAAAAAATTTGAAAAAACCTCAAAAGCCAATTCCAGCGCTTAAAGAAGGTGGTAAAATTTTGATCACGAATTTGGAAAAAGCTCAGAAACTTGCTAAGCAATTCGAGAGTTCCCATAATTTCAGTTTGGGTCTTACTAGTACTATTGAGAATCAGGTTGCTCGGGATTATCTGAATATTTTCTCTCGGGAAAATAGTTTTGATGATTCCTGGGGGACTGATTAGGACGAAGTAAGGTCTATAACTTAAAAAATTCAAAATATGAAAACTCCAGGTGATGATGGAATTTTCTATATCCTCATCAAAAAACTCCCAGAGAGTACCTTTTCTTTCTTGGTAAAATTATTTAACAGATGTTTCCATTTGGCATACTTTCCTGATAAATGGAAAAATGCAAAAGTTGTTCCAATTTTGAAGCCGGATAAAAATCCAGCTGAAGCTTCTAGCTACCGTCCAATAAGTTTGCTTTCTTCAATAAGTAAACTTTTTGAAAAGATAATTTTGAATAGAATGATGCTTCACATCAATACGAACTCAATTTTTGCAGATGAGCAGTTTGGATTTCGCCATGGGCATTCAACTACTCATCAACTCTTAAGAGTTACCAATTTAATTCGTTCAAACAAATCTGAAGGCCACTCAACTGGAGTTGCTCTTCTAGACATAGAAAAATCATTCGACAGTGTTCGGCATGAAGGTTTGATTGCTAAATTGAAAAAGTTTAAGTTTCCACTTAACATTATGAAATTAGTTCAAAATTATTTAACTGACAGAACTCTGCAGGTAAATTATCAAAATTCCAAATCTAATCGACTACCATTCTTGGGCCTATATTGTATAACATTTTCACTTCGGACCTCGCTGATTTGCCTCAGGGTTGCCACAAATCTTTGTTCGCT